AGTTGAAGCGCATGTGAACATTGTTCCGTGGCTTCCAGTGGGAGATTGTTGAGTGTGAATCCAAGAAGCCAGGTAGAAGCTAATAGGAAATTAGCAAGAACTGTAAGCCATCTTAGCTTATGCTTTAGCTTAATCATTATCTCCTTAATTATCTCTATTTAAGAGATCATTGTGCTTGTAATTATAATCTTAAAGTGCAACAAGAAATGAAAATTCTCCTAGCTGCCGTGTGTGGATGTAGGTTGCAGTTGGTAACCAAACCACATTAAATCTTATATCTTTTATTTTTTGTAATTAATTCGTGGTTGTGTGTGTTATTTTTGCGGGCATTTATCCCAACAAGCTAAGGTGGAGTGAAGTGTGGTGATGGAGAAGATTGTGGAGATATTTTAGTAAGAGTTGATCAATGATGATGTAGATAATTGTGGGGAGTGATTGGTGATAATTATATATGGATGGATTTATGGTAACTGGGGTAGTTAATTATGGTAGTGAGAAGGGTCGCTCAATCAGTCACTTGGTGCCCTTCACGTCACTAGCAGTCCATGAAAGCTTTATTGACCCTACACGGTCGGCTCGTGATACTCTATGCTCGTCCGATCCCTCAATGCGGGACGACTTCGAACCCCCTTCCAATTAAGCAAAGGCTTGAACTTGTTCTTGGGCCTCCTGTCCCGAGTCCATTCTGAGGGCCTACTACATACAAAGGAGATTATTATCCATCACATGGTAATATGTGTGTTTAATAAAAGAGTAAATTCTATAATTAGTCCTTTATAACAGGGGGGTTTCCCTATTTAATCCTCTATTATCAAATATTACCTAAGTGGTCTTTCTTTTATGGGTACCTTTTCACATATAGTCCTTTTTTGATCTTCTATCATGTTGGTGTAAATTTGAGTGCTAAAAGTGTAATTTCACAATGATAATATATTTTTTTTATCATACACAATTCAAAGGCTGTTCCTTTTGCGTCGTTTGTGAATTACAGTCGCTTTTTACGACAATTATAGTCTACAAATGTGATCTTTCTTCAGAATCTTAGCCCACAATCATAGTCATTATTTTTGTGTTATCCGCTTAACCAATATCAGAACACGTCACTAGACATAATGTTGACGTCAAATTATACTTTTAGCCTTTAAATTAACACCAACACGGCAGAAGATCAAAAAAAGGACCATTTGTGGAAAGGCACCCTTAAAAAAGGACTATGGGGGTAATATTTGATAATAGAGGACTAAATATGGAAACTTCCCTGTTATAAAGGACCAATTATGGAATTTGCTCTTAATAAAAACTAATGAGTGATAGCTAGAACTAACTAATTAAGGAAAAAATACGTAGATAGGACTAAATCAATTGCGTTTTACTTAAGTAGAACCTAACTCACGCATGGTACTAAAACATTGCTGAAAAGGCTACATTATGTCCTTTATAAAAATTAGCATCATTGCACAGTCGCGAAGACTACACTGAATAGCAATACTACTACACATTCACAAAAGCAGTACGCACTAAATAAAGAGGACGGTTCCCATGACATTGTCCGACAATGTTATGGGATGACCCGGAGGCGCTCCAGTGCCCCGTTCGTAAAAAATTGACGGTTCCTACCCCCTAATCCATCGATAACTCCAAAGTCAAAATCAACTTGTAGGGTGCAATTGAAGGAGGTGGGGGGTGTGTTCGGGTCATGGCGGTGTGGAGGGTTTACCGGGGGGTTAGGGGGTAGGAACCGTTAATTTTACGAATGGGGCACCGGTGCACCCCCGGGTCATCCCATGACATGGGGTTCCATGTCATGGGAACCCCACTGATAAAATTTAGGATGTGTAAGGACAACTAAATTGGGTAATAAGAGACTTGGGTTGAATCACATTAAAAGATTGAATCCAATCGATTATTAGTTTAACTCAAGAGCTTATATACCGATTGTTTTACTCTTGGACTTTCGATGTGGGATGTACTCTAACTCTCGCTCTCAAGTGGACAACCGGGTCATTTTGAATCTAACTGGTTGACCACTTGCAAACGGACTCCCATCCCCTCGGGTTTTTAGCGCCAACACTTAAAGGATTACGAGCCACTGGGTATAGACTTTCAAAAGAGCAATCGTGTTAAACGGGACACAGACCGTTGGGTACATACCCCATACAGACAACTAGGCTAAACACTAACTGGCCGCTAGGAATGAACATCTAGACGGACACGTTGACAAATGAGGTGGGCTAAAACTTGCTCTAATACCATGATAAAATTTAGGAGGGGCAAGGACAACTGGATTGGGTAATAAGAGACTTTGGTTGAACCATCTTTAAAGATTCAATCCAATCGATTATTAGTTTAACTCAAGAGCTTATATATATAGCGATTATTTTACTCTTGGACTTTCGATATGGGATGCACTTTAACACTCGCCCTCAAGCAGGGGCGGATCCAATGCTTTAGCTATGGGGGCAGTGGCCCCCAGTGAACATGTATAAATATTCTATACAAAGAATAAAATTGGGGTTGATTTTATGGATGCCCCCAATACAAAATTCTTGGTGCCCCCACTCCAAACTTTAGTACACGGCCCAACTATATTTTATTGTTAGTGAAAATTTTATTTTATGGCCAAAAGCTCAAACTAAATTTCCCAATTTTTTATTTCTCAATTTTGGTTAAAAAGACTAAAATAATGCAATGGCTAATGGAAACTTTTGAAACAAAAAATTGATTTTTTTGTCATTTACTATTGTCATCCAATATTCATCTAGTTTGAAATTTACGAATCAAATTGAACAAACTTTAATTATCAATTAAATTAAATTTGTACTACGTATAAGGTATTGGTAAAAAAAAGAATTTTACTAAGTTTATCTTATCGAAAACTATCAGAAATGTATTCTTTATATTAATATACTACTTCTGCCCCAGAGTATTTGTCTAGTTTTGACTTTTGGAAGTCAACCATTTTTTATCTTGGTCTAGAAATTTTATGATATACTCCGTATTAACTAAATAAAACAATATTTTGAAAATATTGTATGAAAAAAAATCTAATAAAATCATTTTTATATGAATATCTAATATCAATTTAACTTATTTAATGGTCAAAGCTTGTCAATTTTGATTATAAAAAATCAAAATTGGACGCATAGTCATGGACCAAGGTAGTACAATATAAACTTAATATAATTAATTTTTAAACTTCGTTCAAATTAACTTTTTTATTCAAACATAACTACTTTAAGGCGGAAGAATTACATTGCATTAAAAAAATTTGTAGACGCTGTCCTAAATCCCATCTTGCTCTTGCCGCTATTTTTCTTAGATGGTGCCCCCAATGATATGTTGTCCTAGATCCGCCACTGCCCTCAAGTGGACAACCTGGTCATTTTGAATCTAACTGGTCATTTTTTTACGAGCCGCTGTGTATAGATTCCTAGAAAAGCAATCATGTTAAACGGGCCACAGGTCGTTGGGTACATACCACATACGGACAACTGGGCTAAACACTAATGGGCCGGTAGGAATGAACATCTAGACGGACACCTTAACAAACGAGGTGGGCTAAAACATGATCCGATACCATGATAAAATTTAGAGAAATTTACTTAAATAGCACTAAAACATAATGATTTTCTCTAAATATCACCACCTGTGTTTTTCTTCCCAATGTAACACTTTTAGTCATTATGCATTAGTCATAATTCAAGTAAATATTTGTCATCACTAGACATTATAGACATTATTAAGTGCTATTTAAGAAATAAAACAATTTAAGTGTTATTTAGTGAAATGACTTAAGTTTTAGTGCTATTTAGTGCAAATCTTTCTAAAATTTAGGATGGGTAAGGACAACTGCATTGGGTAATAAGAGACTTGGGTTGAACCACATTAAAATGGTTAGACACTTATTTTTTAAATTTATGACTACTATATTGTAAGGTAGGAGTTTTGGTACAATTATCTATCATTTATCTGTGAATGATCTTTTGGTCACAGTTCAAGCCGGTAAAACAAAGCCAACATTCCCATTGAGAGAACCTCTTAACTCCTTCAGCATCTCGAATGTACTTCGTTTAACTGACGGTGACATAACTGACAACAATGAGAAAAATCATTAATGAAGATATTTTAAACGCAATATGTACACATACTATATTGAATGATGTACATATATTCATTAATTCGTACATATTATAATTTGTATGTTGTATCTGCCTGGTGAAAATATTTTACTACAAATGTTGTATTCAAGGAAGTGTTCCAAATTCCAAAATATTTGTGATGTTTTTATATCAAGTAGTCCGTTTTCTAATTATCAATAATTAATTTTGTAGAAATTTTATATTATGAATTACACTACTCATTAAGTTCAATAAATGACAAATATAATACTTCCTCCGTCCCAAAAAGATTTACACGTTTTGACTAAAGTTGAAATTAAGGGAGAGATAATTTTGTGTTGACTTTCCAAAAATACCCTTGATGTGATGGGTAAAAGTAAGATGTAATGTGTAGATTATTAGAAAAAAAGTATGATGTGATAGGTAGGGTTTGAAAAAGTAAGGGGTAAAAGTGGTTTTTTAATAGAAATGGGTAGGAGATTGTGGGACGCAATTTTTTTGAAACGTGTAAATCTTTTTGGGACGGAGGGAGTAACAAAATTCTTTTCGTGCAACGCACGGGTACGAATCTAGTAGATATAAACATAAATGAATTCTTAGAGCAGCGATATAAACATATGAAAATTTTGGAAGTATCGATGTCATTAATTAAATCTCGGAGTATTTATATAAAATTGTGTAATTCTAGGAGTAATGATGTAAATTTTTCCTAATTTTTTTCATTAACTAATTAAAAGTGATTGAGATGGATCACTAGTTGGCCGGTGGAATACTTGCATGAGGACAACACGCATGCATCGCGTACGCGCAGACGCATTTTTATTACCATGCAGCCACTTGATGAGGTCTATAAATAAAGAACTAAAACAAATTAATTAATGAATTATAGTTATTATTATTATTATTATTATTATTATTATTATTATTAATTACTTATTAGGGCAGATAATTATCCCGGGGATTGATTATGGCGAGAGACGGTCTGGCAATGGGGCGGGTGATCGGAGAGGTGTTGGAACCATTTACGACGTCCATAAACCTCCGGGTGGTTTACGGCGACCGCGCCATCACCAACGGCTGCGAGTTCAGGCCATCTCAGGTGGTTGGCCTGCCGACGGTTGATATTGGCGGCCAAGATTTACGCGCTTTTTATACCCTTGTAAGAGCATCTTCATATATTGGTGTCATTTAATCAATATTTATTATGATTAAAATGAATGAATACATAGAGCGTGTTTGGCAGTGCGCTGCTTTTAATAATTTAGCTTCTAGTTTGAGTATACGTGATTTTACTCTGTTTGGCATGTCATCAGCTTTTGCTTTTAACCACCATTAATTTGTACATAGAACACTGTTTCGGAGAAGTAAGTAGGCTTTTGCTTTCAGCTTTTGTGGAAATCACTTTATCCACAAATTAATCACTCCTAAACACCCTTATAGACATATTTAAATCATTGTGAATGATCAAATGGAATAATGGATGGTGAGAGAGGATAATTTGTTTAAACATTTAAACACCGTCCATGTTGATATATGGCTCCACCCACTAAATTAATCATTTTTATTTATCAATTATATTATAATTAAAAATAATTAATATAATCACTAAAATATATTTTTAATTATTAATTTTTATTTAATTATATATAACATTTATTTTTTTATCTTTGAAAAAATAAGTTTTATTTAGTAATTTTAATGTTATTAAATTTAGATTTATATTAATTATTTGTTGTAATTTTATTTACTAATTTGATTCTTCTAAATATAAACCCGTATAATTTCTATATATTTAATTTAATATTTTTGTAATTTTTTTATTCATCAATTATGTTATGATACAAAAATTAATAGTATTATTTTATAATATAATATGAAGTCTGAAATATTTAAACTATGAAGTAATAAATAAATAAAGGAAAAATTACCCAAAATAATCCCAACTTTACCCGGTCTTTTAAAAATAATCACACCTTTCACTTTGATGCATAATAATCCCAACTTTATTAAAATTTGCCAGTTTTGGGTCGTCGTTAAAATTCTAATGGAGGGTTAACGGAAATGCCCGTTTTAGGCAACAAAATGAAAGTTGGGATTATTTTTGATGAATGTTTGTTTTTTATTTTTTTTTTGAAATTTTTATTTAAATTTTTTGAATTACTTTCAACCTCCATTTCTTTTTTTAAAGATTATTCTTACCTTAGAAAAAAAAATAGATATAAAAAATAATGAAAATGAGAAAAATAACTAAAATCATACAAAATTAATCAAATAAATAATGTAATCAATAGAAATTAAACAGAAACTGGTAAGAAATAAAATAAATATATACGTAGTGGTGGGTTTTAACATTTTACATACTATACGGAGTCTTAATGTTTACTTATTTTTTAAAAGAACAAGCCGTCCGGTAAAGTTGAAATTATTGTAGATAAGTTTTTCTAAAAAATAAGAAGTGATATGTTAATATTCTGTATAATGCGTAAAATATTAAAATCCACCTGTATATTTTTATTTTACTTTTACCAATTTCAAGTTAGTTTCCATTGATTACCTTATTTATTTTATTATTTTTGTATCATTTTAGTTACATTTCTCATTTTTTATTTTTTATATCTATTATTTTTATTTTTTAAACTAAGACTAATCTTTAAAAAAGGAAAAAGAAATGATGATGGAGGTAGAAAGAAATTTAAAAAATTTAAATGAAAAATTTAAAAAAAATAAAAAAATGAAAATTCATCAAAAATAATCCCAACTTTCATTTTGTTGCCTAAAACAGGCATTTCCGTTAACCATCCGTTAGAAACTTAACGGTGACCCAAAACTGGCAAATTTCAGTAAAGTTGGGATTATTATGCATCACAGTGAAAGGTGAGATTATTTTTGAAAGACCGGGTAAAGTTGGGATTATTTTGGGCAATTTGTCCATAAATAAATTAAAGTACTCCCTCCGTCCCAAAAAGATTGGTACATTTTGACTAAAGTGGTAAAATAAAGAGAAATATTTTGGTGTTAACTTTCCAAAAATACCCTTGATGTGATGGATAAAAATAGGATGTGATAGGTAGTTTATTTGATAAAAGGTATGATGTGATAGGTAGGGTATAAAAGTAAGGGGTAAAAATGGTTTTTTAATAAAAATGTAAAGGTTTTTAAGGGACGTAAATTTTTCGAAACGTAACTGACTTTTCGGGACGGAGGGAGTATAAGCTAAGTGAGATCCATGAATAATTAAATGGATGGATGAAATCATGAAATAATGGATTGTGAATATTTATTTTAAAAATAAGGTATTTAAAGATATGAAGATGATATGTGTGAGAGGGAATGATTGGAGTAATGAATTACTCGTATAAAATACTCCGTAAGAAATAGAGATGCTTTGTTTGGTATTATTTGAATTCTTGGATTTCAATTATAAAATTCAATTTCTTTAACTGTTTGAAAACTAAGGAATTTATTTGATGAATTATTGGATTTTTTTTGATGAATTATTGGATTTAAATTCAAAAATTCATCATGGGGTATGTTTAAATTTGTACACCGAATTTTCTTGTGAATTATGGAAATTTGGCACAATATATTCTATTTTTTCTGAATTTACAAACATGTAATTTGAGTCAAAAATAAAGTTCGAATTCTAAATTAAGTTTTCAAATAGACCATTAAAGAATTTCGAACATGGCTATTGGAGCAACTAAATAATAATACAAGAGTAATATTCTCTCGGTGATCAGAAATTTTCTTCTCATTCCATTTTTCACAGTCTACAATGTAACATTTTGATATTTAAAATGTTTGTTTTATCAAGATATACTCCCTCCGTCCCATTATATTCGTCCACTTTTGACTTTTAGAACTGTTCATCTAAGCACTTTGACTCATCAAATTCTCTCAATGTGTAAGCCTAAATATTGTCATGTGTGATCTTGTTTGATTTGTCTTAACATATAGATTATTAATATATAATTTTTATAATTTTTTAATATACAAATTACAAGATAAAATGGATTAAAGAAGTGCATTGGATGGTGTGCAAAAATGAAAGTGGACAAATACTCTGGGACGGATGGAGTATATAATAAAAAAACAATATATATCAATGTTTAGTTTAATATAAAAAACTGTTCATATTAAATTTATTTCATGACACAATGTATTTTTTCTGCATATTGTGGTCAAAATTTAAATACGTTGATAGAAAAAAGTCAAATGAGATGATAATGTTAGAGTATAAAATCATTTCAAGACCTTAAATCTCAAGCATGAGCTCATACTTCTTTGATTCAATTCATTGATATGATATCAAAATTGAGAAATTTACCTAAATATGACTAAAACATACTACTTTCGTCCCAGAGTATTTGTCCACTTTCATTTTTACACACCATCAAATACACTTCTTTAATCCATTTATACACACCATCCAATACCCTTCTTTACATTAAGAAAGTAATTATGTTTTAGTCCTATTTAGTGCAAATTTCACATCAAAATTTTGTTGATTTAAAAGTCTCGAGCTGAATTAAAATTTGATTTTAAAAATTCAAAGACAAATGTAGCCCTAGTCAAAGATACTTCTTTTTTTTTCTTCTTAAAGTAAATTGAAGTTAGATTATTGATATTGTGATTTAATTTCTTATTGATATGAATTAATTTAATTAAGGTGATGGTGGATCCTGATGCTCCAAGTCCAAGTGATCCAAACCTAAGAGAATACTTGCACTGGTACGTACTTATTGATAAGAGAATGTTGGACAAAATTTACAACTAATATATAATTTGAGATCCACTTTCTAATTTAAAAGCTTCAATTAATTGATTAGAAATCATTCTAAATATGACTAAAACATAGAGAAAAGTACCAAAATAAGACTTTCATGTTTTTTTTCCGGAATAGGACTTTGCATTGTGGTAATGTGACTTTGCATTGTGGTAATGTGGCAGTGTACATGTGCAAATTACTGTACTTTCTTGGCAATGTATATGACCATGTTTGGTAATGTAAGTCATATTTCGGGAATAAAAACATGGAAGTCCTATTTTGGTATATCTTCAATGTTTTAGTCCTACTTTGGTCTTTCTCCCTTAATTGATAGAGTATCTAATCATTTTTTTATACTCCTTCCGTCCATGAAAACCTTTCTCCTTTCTTTTTTCATATGTCACAAAAAACATTTCTCATTTCTATTAAAAGTCACTTTTACTCCTTACTTTTTCATACCCTACCTATCACATTATACCTTTTTACTAATAATCTATCCATCAAATCATATTTTTACCCATTACATCAAAGGACATTTTTAGAAATTCAATACCAAAATACACTCTCCTTAAATCTCTCCTCAAAATCAAAACTCCCATGTTTTCCGGGACGGAGGGAGTATATGCTAGTGGTATTTCATTACTTTTTTAAATATATGAACTCTAACCCTGCTCCTGACCTAGTCGGCATTAGGACAAACGCATCTAGCATATGAAATTTTCAATCTCTTATAAAGAGCTCACACAACGAGTGATGACATTTCAATCTTTTATAACCAACTCAATCCAAAGCACATACACGTAGCTCATATATTGCTAAACCCATGTCCAAACAATCAGGAAGATTGGAACATACTTTGATACCATGTTAAAGTTTTGGTGGCACGAGAACTACACACAGATCGAGTGTCGGTTAAAATTAAATGACCATTTGTATATAAAGTCAGAACCCACTTTCTACCTCAAAGTCTTGACAATTTTTGTTTGTTTGTATATTTTTATTGATTATTTAATAAAATAAAATATCATTATCACCTATTATATTTTGTAGATTTTTTATGTAAGCTTTGAATATATAATTTTTATTTTTTTACTTGTATACCAATTTATAAATAAAGTTATTTTAAAGGGAGAACTCCCTATATATTAGTAAGAAATAATGAAAATACCAAAATAAGATTTTACGCTGTCATTGATACACTGTGCACCCTCACCATCTTGTCACATTCTTACACTGCCACCAGAGTGACGCTACATATTGCCGACGAAGTATATTTTTATAAGAGTTATATATATGCATATATACTCCCTCTGGTGTTAATGAGAGAGGGGTAGTAATGTCTGTTTGTAAGAAAAAAAATGTTTTTTTCGGTTATCGGAAGGTAGTTTTAGGACATAGAAATAAGGGAAGTGGGAAGAACGCTTTAAGACGGATGAAGTATCTCTTAAAATATACTCTGTATTAGTAAAAACTAATTAAAATTAATATATTAAAAATATTTTTCACCAATAGATCGGTATAGTTTTATATTTTAATTCATTGTATAATTTTATATATATTTAGTCAAATGTTTGGCACGCAAAGTGAATCAGACAGTGAAAAAAGAATGAACGGAGTACTCTGTATATCTTTGGTGTGGAGGAGAAAAGAGGCCAAATTTCCTATGTAATTTATCACTCGTATATCAATATAAAATGAATGAAGTATATATGTATCAATTATTTGAATATATTAGTCATTTTATTTGAATATATTAATCATTTAAGATGAAAAGGTAAAAAGAAATGAAAAAGAGAAATTTACCTAAATAGGAGTAAAATATAATGACTTTCTCAATATAGGACCATATGTTTTAATTTCCCAATGTAGGACTTTTGGTCATTATCAGCTAGTCATTATTCAAGTAAATGTCTAGCATTACTGGACATTATTTCTCCCACTAGGTCATTATCAAGTCTTATTTAGGGAATAAAAAAGTTTAAGTGCTACGTTAGGAAAGTCATTATATTTTAGTCCTATTTAGTGCAAATTTCACAATGAAAAATGAGGTGATTAAGTACTCTTTGTTTGGTTGATACTAATGGAAACAGATGTTTTAATTTGTCCACCATCTACAGGTTAGTGACTGACATTCCAGCGAACAGAGGAGTTAATTTTGGTGAGTAATTAATTACATCCTACATGCGTATTATATATCCTATCCATAAATTCCCATAATAATAATCCACTCTTTTTTACTTTATTTTAGTTTTTAGTATTATGATTTTATTATAAGGTAGTATTTGTTTATACTATTTTCAATTTAATGACACTCACAAAATCAATGCGTCTACCTTGGCTGAGGCTAGAACCTCAGTGAATTGCTTGCTCATGAATCCTGGGGAGTGGACTTCCTCTCACTCAAGCCAGGAGAGAAGTTCATCCACCCATTTTTTATTAATTATTTCTTTTAATTACTCCTTAGCGCAATATATATCGTACCACCGTCGGTGTTTCCCGTACATCCACTGCGAGTGCTCATTTACGAGTAACGAAATGCTCATTTTCTAGTAAGTGAATAATCATTCTCGAGTAACTGAATACTCATTTTTCTCAAATTCAATTGTGCTCCAGAATAAACATTCAGTTACTCAAAAATGAGTAATTAGGTACTCGATAACAATGAATATTCATGCAGATGTACTGAAATAATGTACATCCGAACATATGGTAAAAGCACTCCTCCTTAATTATTGCTAACTTACCGCTTGATATTGTATATACGGAGTATGTGTTTGATTAGTAATTGTGTATTCTTTATGTGCAGTGCATAAACGCATGTTTGTGTACGTGTTTCTGCTTTAAAATAGTCTTATTATATTGTTCGTCGATAAATTCAGGTACGTGCCCCGCAACTAATTACTTTTCATTACTATACTTCTATTAGTACATCATTAATGGCCCTGTTTGGAAAAATTGTTTTCGATTAGCGTTAGCTATTTAGTTAAAATTTTTACAGTGCAGATTGATTCTGAAAATGTTAAAAACTACCTTCGAATAGTCTTTTCAAAAGCTAACGCTAATCTCTAATTTGCACACCGGGCACACCGGTATGTATGACATATGATTCCTCCTCTTGTCACTGATCAAAAAACATAACAACCTAGTTAATGCTTATATCAAAGTATGACCTAATTAGGACTTGAATGGATACATAATTTCCAATTAGAATTAACTTAGGAGTACACCAATATAGGGTACTCCATTTGTACACCAAGCTAACACAGATACAAAACATCTGTGCACATACATTTTGTGTCTGTATTAGCCTGGTATACAAATGGGGTACCCATGTTGGTGTACCCCTAGCATTGCCCTTCCAATTAACAATAGCATTTTGGATTTTTTTAATAATGAAGAATAATTATAAGAATGATATGCTAAACACTTTTGGTATTCTTTTTTTAAAACATTAAAGGGCTGTTTGTTTCAGCCTCTTAATGGTTCAGATGTCTGAATGGTTCAGCACTTAATGGTTCAGACTGTTTGTTTCAGCCTCTTAATGGTTCAGATGTCTGAATGGTTAAGAGATTTGTTTCTGAATGGTTAAGTATTATACAGAGTCTGAATGGTTAAGACCTCTTATCTGAATTGATCAGACATTTGCCTCTGAATAGTTAAGCAATATACTAGCTCTTAATAGTTCAGACCTCTTACTGGTTCAGCACTTAATGGTTCAGCCTCTTACTGGTTCAGCACTTACCCATTCAGAAGTTGCCAAACAGCCCTAAAATCGTTGTCAAACAAGAATTTAAAGTTAATAATCAAGACATTACCTACCACCTTCATTAATTTTTTAAAATTGTAAATAAATTACAATATCTAGAAAAGTAATTACTCCCCATGCCCTCCAACTTTCCTTAGTCCCCTAACCGGACCGAGTGTTGAAAGCGCGCATGAGTACGTAGTAAGTACTCTTCGTAGATAAAACATAAAAAAAGAACTTTTTTTTAAATAAATTGTATTAATTATGTTAAAATAAGAATTCTGTTGGAGTTCCCACATCGGAAAATAAAGATGAGTATCACTTGCATATATTGAAGGGTGAAGCCCTACCTATCAGCTTAAGCTTTTGGGTTAGAATTGTGGATCCTGACTTTATATGCAAGTGGTTAATTTTACCCGACACTCTATCCGTTGTTATCGGCCCGCCGGAATTTTAACAAATTCATATTTTGATATAAAATATAATGTATGTTATACTTTAAGCATGGTAATTCTTTTTTTTTTTCGTGGCAAAAAAGACTAAAAAAAATTACTCAACGACAATTATGTATGTAAAATGTGTTGCCTCTTCTATTAATGTTTGAAACTTACTTTTGCTTTGGTTTTTAATAATTTTTATAGGACATGAAATTGTGAGCTATGAAAGCCCACAGCCATTCTTTGGAATCCATCGCTTCGTATTTGTACTGTTCCAGCAGGTGGCCCGACGACAGACCATTTTCGGACCGGGTTCGCGCCAAAATTTCAACACTCGAGAATTCGCCGACGTTTACAACCTGGGTCCACCGGTCGCGGCCGTCTTCTTTAACGGCCAACGCGCGGCGGGCACCGGAGGCCGACGCCGTTAATAATTGGATGTGTATATATAATGCAACCATACTTTGAACAATTTAATAATCCGCCGCGATGACTATAAGATACAAACTACACCAACTTGCAATTTGTGCACTTTTTTAATGGAATAAAATAATTTTAAATACTTGCAAAATAAAAATTGAAATGAAATATACAGACGGTAAGTTTGTGTCCAAGTTGTTTGTAACTCTTGCATTACTCATGACTATATACTGGCTAGTTTAATTTCCATATTTATAATTATATACACGGAGTAAAAAAATGATACTCCGTAATAATAATGCCAATTATTGATACTCCGTATATTATTGGAGTTGGATCATCTCTCATTATGTATGCATTATGTTTGACTCCTAATTGAGACTATTATATGAAAGTATGATTGTCATAGTGTCTTCTTTACTCCTTCTGTCTCAAATTGTTTAATTTGCATGTTCATTTTAAATTTTATTAGTTAAATTACACAAACTTTGATCGTTAATTTCATTAAATTTGCAGTACATATTAATAGAATACAACAAAGATTTCGATGTTTTTTCACAAAATAAATCCAATGAAATTATTTTTGTACTAATATGCAATAACGGGTAAATTTCAGTAATGGTACCTGAACTTTCACTGAAATTTCGAAGTGGTACTTAAACTTCAAATCCTTTCAAAAAAAATTACTGAATTTACATAATCCTTTCACTAAAAGTCCATTTACCCGTTTCCAGGTTAAGGAGCTATCATCTACTCCATCTATCCCAAATTAATTTGTCTGTAACCTTTTGTTTTTTGCAAATTTTTTGATGGAATTTTTTAAATATATAAATTTTATTTTTCAATTTCATACCATTTTCGACTAACTTGAGTTGAAACTAAGTTCAGTAACCTCGTAAACAATAAGAGACGATTCAATATAAATTGAGATGGAAGGAGTAGATAATGAAATATCACATTCACCAAGCACAAAGAAGGATACAAAGAAGGATGAAGGACTTGGTAGACAAACACATAGCGAAAGGGCACAACTACAAAGATCTATAACATATCATCTTTAAAGTGATGGCAAAATTGAGGTTCTAATTTAAGCTTGAAATTCGAGACATGTCTAAAGTGTTTCTGCTTAGACAAGTAGGGGTGGACACCGGTCCGAAACTAGACCAAAACTGGAAAAATTGGAAAACAAGAATCAAGTATAGCATAAGAATGGTACTTGGACCTCAAAAAATTCGGCTTGGACCAATTTTTCCCCAGTTGGGTCGGGGTATAAATTGGAAGACTAAACTAAGATTAATCGAGACGCATGGCATGAATGTAGAAACTAAGATTTTATGCATGAAATGAAACAATTAAAATGAAACATCTAATAAATAACGAGTACTGCATAGAAATTAATATAAGGTTAACTTTTAATTTTTCAGAACAAAGCACATCAAATGTTAACTTTTAATAGAGATTGATTATATTTTTATATATGATGCAGATTATAATGAATGCCAAAATCAATACATATCTATTTATATCCTGAATGATTATTGATAAAAAATGGAAATTTTCTCAAAAAATGTATACTTTCATCACATGTATTGCTGATTAAATTTAGAATTTAATAAAAAAATGCTTACATAGGTAGACATATATTTTTACTATTGAGGGATATAATATATCGGCCATACAAGAAATTATATTTTTAATATTATCCATTTAAAATTTTTAGAATTGTTTTTTATTTATTATATTCATCTTAAATTGTACTCCTACCGTCTCCATTTTGATTACAAATTGGAATTTACGAGGAGAAATATCTCACTTTTTGAAAGGATCTTATTTATAAATCGGTTTATTGATAAGAAATAAAAATTACATATTAAAAACTACATCAAAAGTTCTACAAAATAAGATGTGAGAAGAATATTTTATTTTATCAAATAATCAATGAAATTGCTTAAACAAACAAAAGTTATTGAGAGGAGAGAAAAAAAATTATAATTAAATCGGGGACGGAGGGAGTAAAATTAATATATTCATGAAATACTCCCTCCGTCCCCCTGTATTTGTCCACTTTCATTTTTACACACCATCCAATGCACTTCTTTAATCCATTTTATCTTGTAATTTGTATATTAAAAAATTAAAAAATTATATATTAATAATCTATATGTTAAGACAAATAAAACAAAATCACACATGACTATATTTAGGCTTACACATTGAGAGAATTTGATGAGTCAAAATGCTTAGATAAACAGTTACAAAAGTCAAATGTGAACAAATACAGAGAGACGACGGAGGGAGTAATAGTTTGGTATCAGAAGCGCCTACAAGTCTACAACAGTGCGAATTCCGTCACTCTGTTTGGCCCAGTGAATACAAATATGGGCCCGATACTTTATTCTATTTTGGCTCAGCGAATCACCGAACCAGCCCATTTAGCAAGCCGCGCGGACAATTTTCGGCGCGCAATAGAATTTCGGCATTTTCCCCCTTTTCCCGAAAAATATACTGGCGGGAAATTAAAGGGAAAAAAAGGAAAATAAAAACGGTGGGAAATGATTCGCCTTCCAAGGAGAGGATTTTCATTTCTTCTTTTCTTTTCTTTGCCCTACTGTTTCACCCACCAATCTCCCTCGTGAATCTTCTTCTAGGGTTTTCGTTTTTTCTGGAGTTAATCCGGCAGAAATCTTCCATATCGACCGGGGATTTTGCAGTTGCAGTTCGTCGAACTCATGGCGGAGCCGATGGCGGTCGACGTTTTGGAGGGCGCCGGAGCGAAGGCTCCGGATTCTCAGGGAGAGGCTGCTTCGAAGGGGAGTTTGAAGAGAAAGAGGGCGTCTTTTGCTGCTGGGGTGAGTCCGGAAGAGAAGGAAGCTATGATCGAGGCGTTGCGCGAGGAATTGGAGGGTTTGTTCAGGTACTACAGGGAGGAGCTGGAGAGGAGGGTTGTTGGGGACGGGGAGAATTTAAAGACTTGCGTCTCGATGAATTCTGCTGTTGCTGGTTTAATGGAAGAGAGCAGCCTCCCGCTTACGAAGTTAGTGGATGAGATTTTCGCTAAAATCGGAGGTACGGTGTCCGGCGGACTCAAAATCGGCGCGGAGAATATAAGCAAAACTGGTGTGAAGAGCACTGTGATATCGATTGGGCAGAGGATGTTCTATGGGATTCCTGGATCGGACGCCGATGTCTTGGAGGACGACTCGGAATCTGCCCTCTGGTGCTGGGAGGTAAAGAATTTGGTTTCTTTCCTTTAAGTTAGTCTGGAGCAACTTTACATTTTCTTTTTTAGGGAATGTGTCGTGTTCATCGGTATACTTCTTAATTGTGGATCATGTGAATAAGTGCGATGCTGAATTGTTGATGTGCAGACAAGGGATGCTAAGTTGTTGCCGAAGTCCGTGCGTTCTGCAATTAGAATCCGGCGGACTTGTCGGAAAAAGATATATGAGAGGATTTCTGCTGTATCTGGTATGTTATTAAGTCATGCTATATGCTTAGCTACAGTTCGAACTGCTAAAGGTTCTACTTGTTTGAGTATTTTCAACAGGGTAATGGTTACTTAGAAGCCAATGCACATATTTTATATTCAAAAAACATGGAGTATAACAAATTGACTGTAGAAAAATGATCTTATGTTCAAATTTCGGTGGGCTTAGAACAACGGGCAGAGTGTTGGTACTTGCATATAAGGTTGGGTTTCACTTTCTAACCCAAAAACTTAAGATGATAGGAAGAGTTTCACTCATGGAAACATTGGTTCATATTTGTATTGATTCAATGTGATTTCAGCGTATGCCATAGTATTTTTTAATCAAATATTTTGCTTTGACTTTCTCAGGGATGTTAGCTGCTCTCTATAAACCAGATAGTCATCAAAATAGCAAAGAGCTGATGAAAGCCTCTGAGAAGCTTTCTAAAGTATTAGCTGAAGCAGACATACGTTCATTGATACACAACATGGGGCAAACTAGTGGTGCTGAAATGTCTGTATTAGCAGCTGTTTTATTATGGTATTTTGTGTCCATGATTTCCAATTTTTCAAATAGTTTTCTTTGATTTCTGAAGGGCTGAAAAGGATACCAAGAAGGAGAAGATTTTGATCAAGCAGATGGAGAGGAGCAAAAGAGAAGCAGAAAAAGAGAAAAAAAGACTGGACAAGGAACTTCAAAAGGAAAAGTTACAAAGTGTAAGTCTACCTTGCATTGCATGCTGTGTTTGACCTTTTTCAGTTTTCTGCTAAATTGCAAGTTGTGCAGAATGTTCACAAACAAATAGCATGGTTTTATTTTTAAATTCTACAGTTCAATGTTACAAAATTCAAATGCTTCTCTATATGTTCATTGAGTTATATTTGTGTTTATTTACTTTTAAAACTGGAAAAGGATGTGAAGTGCATGGTGTTCTCTATGTTCATTGATCTTACATTTCTACTTATTTACTCTTAATCCAGGAAAAAGAGCAGAAGCGCTTGCAACAAGAAGCAGAGAAGGAGGAGAAGCGCCGCGAGAAAGAAGAATCTGAACTAAGAAAGCAACTAAAAAAGCAACAAGAGGAAGCTGAGAAAGATCAGCGGCGCAAGGAAAAGGAAGAAGCTGATTTGAAAAAGCAACAATCTTTACAAAAACAAGCTTCACTAATGGAACGCTTTCTTAAAAAAAACAAAAGTAGCTCAACTCCTCGAGATGACCCATTGTTGAACAGTGTAACATCCAATTTATCCCCTGACAAGAGTGACAAAATGCCTGGATCTGTTACTCCATTGATGGACTCTATTCTTTCCCTTAAGGATGTAATACACGCAGAAGATCTATGGAGGTGTTTGCCTCTTCATTTTCATCCTGCACTGTTGCTAATTTTCTCACATATGTAATATAACAGACATTCTTACTCAGTTTTAGTTTATAGCCTTGGTGGCATTTGGTTTGAAATGCAATATTAACTATCTTTTTCTGCTACTGTACAGGTCACATTTAAATTCTTGGCAATGCTTGGGTCATTTGATTCATTCAAACAAAAATGCTCACTGGGG